ATGCTGGTTCCATCAGACAAAGTTCTCTGCCTCCCCTCTCTTCTCAGGCTCTCTGACTGCCCTAAGAATCCAAAAACAACACATGTTCATATCTGAAAGAAACCCTAGATATCATCTTCTCTGACCTTTCTATTTTACAACAAGACTCCCAGGGAGATAATGACTTCTCCTAGTTGGCAGATCTGGTGGATCAAAAATTAAGACATAGGTCTCCCAATGATCCAGCAGGAAAACATGCTACATTAAAAGCACTTTCCTATCTCACTATGATTCTGCAGCCTCCTGAGCCTTGATTCTGTTTCCTTTGCAACCCCATCTCCCTACAAGTCCCTCTTCTGCTCTACAAAGATGAACCTAAGTTTTCGTTAACTGGTTATTTCAAGGAGAACTGACATAATTTCTTCTGTTTTCACTCTTAACTATACTCACTCAGACTAAGAACCTGCACTGTATTAATGTCTTGTGGGGCCTTATTCAAACACTCCTTAAAATTATAATGGGCATCAAGTCTACAAACCTTATGGGAGAGGATGGAAAACTCTTTGGGCCCAGGTTCTAGTCGCATTCCATACTTCAGAGCAAAATGGCTAGGAAGAAACCAGCAACATGAAACTGTAGATTGTTTTCTTGGGTAACTGGGGGTAATTACAAAGCTCCTCTTAATCCTTACACACAGGCTCTCCAAGAGCTGTATTATCTTAGGGAAGCATGACAGTGCAACACAGGAGCCAGGCAGAAATGTGGCTTCTCAGCTATGTGACCTGCAGCAACTGGAACTCTCTAAGTCTGTTTTCTCATCTGTAAAAGGGGATAACACCATTACCAATTTATTATATTATGGTGAGAATTAACTAAAATATTTTTATAGATTTTATGTTTTATACATTCAATCACTGTATAACATTACAACATCCAAAATGAATTTTCCTATCATGAATCCAGTGTATATTAGTTCAGTTGAAGATATTATCATCTATGTTATTATCAATAGATAATTTTCCATTTTTGTGATGCTTAGATGTTTTGTTTCTTTTTCCCTTTGATTCCCTCCCTCTCACTCACCCGCCCCCATTTCTCACCCTCCTCTCACACTGTCTCTAGTACCCACTAGCTAAAATATTTAAGTAAAGGACCTGGTTTATACTAGGGGACCCAATAACTATTAGTTTACTTCATCTTCATTAAAAGGAGGAACACAAGTGTCCCTATTTCAACTTAACCTCTAGCTCTGGCTTGATGTAGAATATGAACATTTTATTTTCTCTCTTCAAATCCTTAGTTCCTCCTTTGCAAAAAGATATCATTACTAGATGAGGATGCAAGTACTAACTATTCTCTGGGTAAAAGTGTTATTTGTAATAGAACCATAATTTTAACAGTAGAATGAATCATGTGTGGGTACAAGTGAGAAAATAAACAATGACTAAGTGCCTACTATGTACCAGGTACTTTAATCACATTATTTGTACTATTTCTGGACAGAGAGAATTTGTTATTATCCCATTTTACAGATGTGGATTGGCAAAGTTAACCAACTCAAATCAATATAGCCATTAAGTCACAGAGATGAATGTAAACCTATGTCTGCAAGACCCTAAAGGCCACTTTCTTTGCATTTATCCAATGTTCTTACTCTTCTGGAGAGAGAAGCCCCATGTGGGAAGCAGAATCATTTGCTGAAACTCTAAGGGTTACAGTGTACAAACGTAATCCACACTAGATGTGTCAACTTTCCCTGGGTCCTTCTGGTCTGAGGATCTTTCATTGGGATTTTACATGATCAGGTGATGGATTTATGCCAGTGGCCACCAGAGGGGGATAACAGCTGGCAGAGTACAGGGTGCATGCACACACATGCACTCATTCACACACACACACACACACACATACACACACAGGTTGCCCAGTAACTTATACCATCAATAACAGAGGATTAACACACAGATACCTTCTAAAATAAAGTCCTTTGGAGAAACAGAGCTTCCTCTCAGCCTCTCCATTACTGCCAAAACCTGCTGAGTCTGAGCACACCTTGGGGAAAAGGAGCAAACCAGGTATCCCTAGTTCAGGTGAAGGATATTCCTGTTTTAAAAAGAACTTTTAAAAAAAGCATATTTGGTCCATTGGGTCTTACAATCAAAGAACATCATGTACACAATCAAAAAGTAATAGATTTAACACCAGAAGACAAGAGTTTTTGAAGTGTTGGCTCAACCATGTATTTCAAACAGCCATGTGCAAGTCCCTGAACAACTCTGATTGTCTATTTCCTAAAATGTAAAATGAGAATCCTAACACCCACTTTTTATTCAGTATCAATGCTCCGAGTACTAATAGGCCTTGTCCTGGACAACACAGGGCCTGGCACAGTAGTCATAGTGCTTAAATGTATGAAATAGAAGCAAAAGGAGCCAGCGTGGTAACAAACACAGCCTGCAAGGAAAGTCCCAGGTATCTCACACTGATGTTGTACTGTCCTACCTCTCCCATCTTCCTTTCCAGAGAAAGAAGCCCACCAACTTCCTAAGTTAGAAAATTACTGAATGATTTAAAGCAGTAAGAATTTATTCTCTTCCACAGTTCTAGAAGTCAAAATTCTGAAAACAAGGTGTTGTCAGAGTCACACTCCCAGTGGAGGCTGAATCCTTGACATGAGAGGAAGCCTTTCTTGCCTCTTCCAGCTTTAGGTAACTGTTGACATTCGATTTGTGATCATACCATTCCTATCTCTGTTTCCATCTTTTTTTAAAAGCTGACTTATTTCTTGAGATAGGAGAGATAGACATTATCAAGAGTGTCTTCATGCTGTGATCCTCCCCAAGCCCTGCAATCAGGCAATCACAGGCACATCTGTAGGCACACCCAATACATTTATGTAGACATAGGATTCAAACCCAGAGCCTTCCTATATGCCCTCCAGCCTCACATTGCAGCACCCCTACTGCCTGTGCCACTGCAGCTAGGCCTTGGTCTCC